GTGAAAAATCTGGGGCTTTTTCGAAAATCTGGGGCTTTATCTGTCTGTATATCTAAAAATGGGTATTTTTGGGGGGGGGGGGAATTAGGGTTTTGGAAAAATAGTTTTTAGAAAATTATGCTGCGTATCTGTTTGTATGGGTTATATCCGTCTGTTTCAATAAGGATATATGGGTTATTGCAATGAATGCAAAATTTATAAGGAATTTTAAACGTATTTTTACACTAACATAGTTTTATTGTTTTTTTTGGGTTTGCAGTGAGATGGCTAATCCAAGGATTGAAAATAATTTTTTAATATAGATTGATTCGTTCCCATGTTTGAGAAGGTCCTTTTCCACTTGGAAATAGACTTACTACCGGAGATATTCGTGTTACTTCGTCTGCACTGGTTTGTACACGAATGCGTGAGGTATCTCGCCATATCCAATATGCACACTCAGGTGCAGATAAATCGAGATAAGGAATCGGCTCCATCGGCTGCTCCAACAGCGATTTATACAACAATGTATCGATCATGTGTCGGTGTTAGATTTCGTCTTTATCTGTCATGGATCCTGATAGAGTATTGCGAGCTGATGCAAATTGCACCAAGCCAGTTGGTTCTCCGAGCTTGGGGATTGATACATGCTCTGCAAGTCTTGTCCGACCTATCTGGCATTGATACCTCCGGGAAAATGGTGGCACACTCGTTTCACCTTGTTAGCGTTGAAGGGAATTCCCGAATATTCAACCTTCAACTTTGCGAAGGTGAAAGCTCTCCTGTTGATCTTCCAATGTGGCTGGATGCAAGTGTTGATGGTGGAGAATACTTCTATGTCATCCACAATGGAGTTGGAAGAGTTCGCAGCTGCTGGTCAGACATAGGTATGAGAACTTTATACCCACTGTATTATAAAAAGTGTAAAAAAGGCTTATAAAAATCTGTAAAAAAACTTATATATAAAAATTTTTACCCATTGTATTATAAAAAATGTAAAAAAGGCTTATAAAAATTCTGTAAAAAAGGCTTATAAAAGTCTGTAAAAAGTCTTATAAAAATTTATACCCATTGTATTATAAAAAATGTAAAAAAGGCTTATAAAAATTCTGTAAAAAAGGCTTATAAAAGTTTGTATGCCTTTTTGTTATGTAGGAGTTGTACCAGCGGATGTGATTCCTGATGAATCGTTCCCTGATGTACTCTACGAGCTGGATAAAAGTTTCATGAACATTGCCGTATTGCTGCATCCACGTATTGTGGACAGAACTTCACTAGACACGTCTTGTAGTGACCCATTCATCCCCCAACCAGAGTCCCGCTATAAAATATTTGCATAGCAAAAATATAGTAGTTCTTGTTACATTTTTAATACTATGAAACTTCACTGCAGATAATTTGGACCTTTTGACGGTAGCGCTTAGAATGTATGATTTTTTTCAAGAAGTTCCGGATGAAAGTTCTGATGAAGTGGACAATGAAAAC